TGTGTTTCAAAAGGAAATGTGTTGCTGTTTATAATTTGGAGTTCTTTGTTCTCAATATGAATCCTCTGCCAATATAGAGTTAGAAAGTCTTTCCCCATAGCCTGCTTGTTTATATCAATGCTTTTTACCTAAAAACACATTCAAGTGTACTGTGATTGCTTTTATAAAGCTGAATTAGGTTGTTCTTGATTATACAGAACATCTTTCTTGAAGGTAGCACAAAAACCTCTTAATTACTTTTGTTCTTATTCTTTCAAATTATAGAAAAAATTAAAGATTTTTTATTAAGAAATTTTTTTTCATTCATCTTACATACCAAAGATTCCCCCCTCTTCCCTCCTCCCATTCCCCCCAGCCTCCCCCTCTCAATCCATCCTCTACTCCCATCCACAAGAAAGCAAGGCCTCCCATGGGGAGGCACATCCAGTAGAGGCAAGTCCAAGCCCCCCCCCCCCCCCCCCCCCCGCCTCAAGGCTGCACAAGGTGTCCCATCATAGGCAGTGGGCTCCATAAAGCTGGCTCATGCAACAGAAATGGATTCTGATTCTACTACCAGGGGGCCTCCCAAGCAGATCAAGCTGTCTCACCATGCAGAGGGCCTAATCCAGTTCCATGCAGGCTCCACAGCCATTGATCCAACTTTCATGAGTTCCCCTCTAGTTTGGTTTGGTCATCCCTGCCTGTTTCCCCATCATGATCCTGATTCACTTGTTCATAGAGTCCATCTTCTCTCTCTTTGACTGGACTCCTGGAGTTCTGTCTGGCAATTGGCTGTGGATCTCCGCATCTGCTTCCATCAGTCATTGGAGAAAAGCTCTGTGATGACATTTAGGGTATTCACCAGTCTGATCTCTGGGGAAAGCCAGTTCAGTTAAGATACCTTCTCCACTATTGCTAGTAGTCCAGGCTGGGGTCATTCTTGGGGATTCCTGGCAATTTCCCTAGCACCGGGTTTCTCTTTATCCTCATGATGTCTCTCTCTATCATGGTATCTCTTTCATTGCTTTCCCCCTCCCTCCCTGTTCTAGCTCAACCATCCCATTCCCTTATGTTTTCATTCCCTATCCCCTACCCTCCATTGCCCACCCTTCACCCCCAATTTACTCATGGAGATCTGAACTATTTCCACTTTCCAGGGTGGTCCGTGCATCCCTCTTTGGGTCTTCCATGTTCGTTAGCTTCTCTGGAGTTGTGGGTTGTTGCCTGATTACCCTTTGCTTTATATCTAGTATCCACTTATGAGTGGGAACATAACATGTTTGCCCTTCTGAGTCTGGGTTACTTCACTCAAGATATTTTCTAATTCCATCCATTTGCCTACAAATTTCATGATGTCATTGTTTTTCTCTGCTGAGAAAATGTGGTACATATACACAAACATCATTGTGTATATGTAACACATTTTCTTAATCCATTTGTCAGTTGAGGGGCATCTACATTGTTTCCAGGTTCTGGCTATTATTAATAATGCTACTATGAACATAGTTGAGCATGTGTCCTTGTGGTATGATAGAGCATTCCTTGGGCATATAAGACAAAACGACAGCCTACAGAATGGGAAAAGATTTTCACCAACCTCACATCTGACAGAGGGCTGGTTTCCAAAATATATAAAGAACTCAAGAAACTAGACATCAAAATAACAAACAATCCAATTTAAAAAAAATGGGCTATAGAGCTAAACAGAGAATTCTCAAAGGAAGAATTTCAAATGGCCAAAAGACATTTAAGGAATTGCTCAGCATCCTTAATTATCAGGGAGATGCAAATCAAAACAACTCTGAGAAACCATCTTACACCTGTCAGAATGGCTAAGATCAAAAGCACTGCAGACAGCTTATGCTGGAGAGGATATGGAGCAAGGGAAACACTCCTCCACTGTTGGTGGGAGAGCAAACTGGTACAGCCACTTTGGAAATCAGTATAGCGGTTTCTCAGAAAATTGGGAATCAATCTACCTCAAGACCTAGCTATACCACTCTTGGGCATATACCCAAGGAATGCTCAATCATACCAGAAAGACACATGCTCAACTATGTTCATAGCAGCATTTTTCGTGATATTTTACTTTTAAGTGCATTGGTGTTTGGCCATGGTTGCCAGGTCCCCTGAAATTGGAGTTACAGACAGGTCTGAGCTGACAAGTAGATGGTGGGAATTGAACCCAGGTCCTCTGGAAGAGCAGTCAGTGCTATTAACTACTAAGTCATCTCTTCAGCCCTGAAATTATAGAAAAAAACTTAAGTAATAAAGTTTCTTTTGTTTTGTATGCTCAACCATCTCTGAAATGAGCAAATTTTAAAGATGATTCCTATAAATATTGAAAAGCATTTATCATCTTAACCCAAATACCATTGCACCTAAACTCTGGTTTTTATCCCTCTTGGACCCAAGCTCTTCTGTGGGCCTGAAGCTCACCTGACTTACAGCCATCACTCAGCCTCTTTAAAGACCTTCTATGTGTTATGCTAGAAGGAAAATAATGGGGCTACAGTTTTTGTTGATTATTTTCTTCTTAAAAGACTTAATAAAGTCATAAAAAGGAAGACTATAAATATCTTCTGGTCTACTCTTCTCTCAGTGTTTGTAGATATGAACAGAAACTGCTCCTGTATTAAATAGTTTTCATATGTTAGTATTGATTTGAAGTAATATAAAATTAGATGATGATAAATTCTTTAAATTATAGGATGCAACCCAAGTTTTATGTTTCTTTGCCTTTGTTTTAGTTAATTTAATATTAAATTTAACATTATTTATGACAGAAAAATCAAATTAGAAATTATTATTGAATGATACTTTTTCTTGCTTTCCTCTCTTATGTCAATCAGACAGAATTAATACATGGGCCTGTAGCAGCTGGAGTTGGGATGATTATGTATTTTCTCTACAATATGTCTCTTAGAAGTTTAAGTACCTACTTTTCTTTTTTGGCATTTTATTTATTGAATGTGTGTTTGTGTGTGTGTGTGTGTGTGTGTGTGTGTGTGAGAGAGAGAGAGAGAGAGAGAGAGAGAGAGAGAGAGAGAGAGAGAGAGAGAGAGAGAGAGACTCATGTGAAGGCCAGAGGAGAATATTCTCTCCTTTCATCATGTAGGTTCCAGGGACTGACAGCACGTACCTTTACCCACTGAACCATCTTGCTGCCAGTCCCTTTTTGAGACAAGTTCTGTCTCTGTAGCCCAGGCTGGTCTAGAAAACTCTGTGTAAAAAAACAGGGTTCTTCAACTTCACCACAGTCTTCCTGCCTCAGTCTTCCATGTGCTATAATGTCAGGTGGCACTTGATAGGGCATACCTGTCCTTGTTTACAATGTTAAAAACTAAGGTTTTGTAGACAGGAAGAGGTGATCAAGTCAGGTTAAGATTCTGAGAGCTATTACCTGATGTCTGGCTTCTATTTATTGGATCTGAGAAAGAGTGGCTGGAGGTGAAAAGGGTCTGAACAATGACAGGAGAGGCAGAGAGTGAGGATGGTGGAGATTGCTTAAGCCTGTTTGTAGCAAGATGTCTCAGAGTCTCATAATGAGCATTGGCAACTGTGTTCTGAAACTAACATTGTAGTTTTAAAAATCCCTCCTAGGTATTAATAATGCCAGCTAATGCTTATACAGCATTCAACCACTATTTCAGATGTGTTACATAAATTATTTTTGAATAATTATTAGAGAACTGCTTTCTCTGTCATTTTCCATACATGACACCTTTACTTACAAAAAAGAAAACATCTTTTAAATAAAACTAAATAAAGGACTTCCTAGAATTTTCAGATAACCTCTATTTGCCCATAGATATAACCAAAGTAGATATTAGTTATTGATATGGGAAAATAGTTTCCCTATGCCTTCTAGTTAATTTGAGTTTTGAAACAAAAATAAACAAACAAATAAACAAAACACATGTAGTTTTACCCTCAACCATTTCTATAAATAACAACATTTTGACTACCTGAGGTAATATTATGTTACAAGTTAAACTATCAGTTTTGCTATTGCCAGATCTTTCTTACCATGGTGGCTTAACAATAAGCCATTATTAAACATGCTAGTCATTTGAGAAATGTTTTTTAGGAATTCCATGGGAAAAGGAGCACAGATATTTTTCCTTATTGATTTAAATAACAGCCTTCATATTGTAGTCATATTAAAAGTCAAAGAAGCAAATCAGATATTTTATCACATTTATTCCCATGGTGGGAAATTACAGATAATTAAAAAGGAAGACAGAAAAGCAGGCTATAGGGTAGAAAGGAAAAGAGAAAGTAAAAAGAGAAAAAAAGGGAAGAAGCATTACTTGAGATCACATCGTCGATAACCACCATTACCATCAGACAGCACATCTTCTTAACAGATTGTGTGTGCATGCATGGGCCTTTTTAAATGAAAGAGATGTACCTTACTCTTTTCTAACTTGCTTTTGTTTTTAGCTGTGTGCTATCAAGCGTTATTGTGAAGAGAAATATGAGAGCTCATTGGACGTTGAGATGGTTTCTCCTGTTTCTTTAGGTTCTTTAGAGTCTCAGTTTCTTAGGATTTAGTTTCACAGAAAAGAGTGAGTCAGTATTTAAGTAAAATGTTAAAGTTTTGTCGATGTTGGGCATGGTGACTCTTTTCTAGTGCTGGGCTGTAGGATTGAAGCCCAGGGCCTTTGGGTGCAAGCACTCTACAGCAAGCTACACCAGCAGCTTAGGGATGTCAGTATTATTGAGAAGTAGTTCTCTATAAAGGTTATACAATTACTATTCCACCACAGAGGCCAAAGCCAGCAGTCAGTCCCACCACTTACCATAGTCTTAATTGATATTCTTTCATTACCAGGTAGAGGAGACTTCTATTTCAAATGGTTTATGAGCTGATTCGCAATTATATGATGTTCTAATTAAATTGATCTCTCCTCTTCTATAGATTTAAACTAGGTAACTGTGAAACAGTTTTCCCAGATGAACAAGGCACAGCTGGTGACCAGGCTCTGCTAACCATAATATGCTCCTTGATTTTAAAGTCTCAGTGTACACGGAGTCCCAGCCAGAAGTCATCCGCTGTCTGAGACTGGCGCTGATGGACGCTGTCAAGGACATTGTGCAGCAGGTCGTATCCATGATGAGATGCGGGGGAAACAGTGAGGCAGACCTAAACAAGTCCCGTGTTCCTGATCGTCTGCTTCAGAGCATTCCACAAGAATGGAATTATATTCCAAGAGAATTCAGAAGGAAAGAATCAAATAAAGGTGAGCACATTAGTTCTCTAAGAAAGTGTCTCCTAAAGAAACAATCTCTTTTATCTTATTAGTACTTCATAATTTTTTGAAATTTGTTTTGTTTCTTTATTTTTGTTTATGAGATTATAATTTGATTAACATATCTCTAGAGCCCTTCTCTTTCCTCTCCCCAAACTCCCCATCTGTCCTTCCCCCATCCTTCAAATTTATGGCCTCTTTTTTATTTTATTAATTGTTATTGCGTGCATAAGTATATTCATATACATATATATTTCTAAATAGAACCTGTTCAGTCTGTAGAATGCTACCTGTATGTATGTTTTCAGGATTGACCATTTGGCATTGGACAAGCAATTGGCATGCCCTTCCCTGGGGAAGACCTCTCCCACTTCTCCTTGGTTGTGTATCATTACTTCAGAATTTTAATCTTTTGGTTTTGCATTAGTAGTCACAGAAGTCAGACCTTTCCTTACTTTAAATCTAGATAATGATCTGTGTGCCCTCACAATCACTCTTATATAGTTTGTCTGTTTTGTTTTCTTTTTCTTTACCCTACAACCATCATATTTTACTTTCTTTTCCCTTCACACACCTTCAGATGTAGCTTTTAGGTGCCAAATAGCACCTAGTTTGGTAGCTGTAAATAATTCTCTGATAGGAATCTCTCTTCCCTGGACCTGTGGTTCTGGACTGAATCTATTGGTCTTGTTTTGAGTAATCCTTCACCAAGTGTGCTTGCGTCGTCATTTATCTCTACATTCTCATATCATATTACTTATCTGTGTGAATCTTCTCTTTCCTAAAATAAAATGTCTCGTCATGTTCATATTTAAAGAAGAATATTTTTCAATGCCAAAGAAAAACTTTCCACAATAAAACATTCCAACTGGAAGCTACAGAAGTGAGTTGGGGCGTCTAGCCTTTCCTTCATTCTTTCCCATGGAGATCCATATAGAGTAGCATTTATCCAGAGACTTCCATTACGAATGCAAGGCAGTTGTCTATGAATGGCCTTCCTAGGAATGTCCTATCAAACTGCCTTTGGATCTAGTAAAGATACTTAACTGAAACTGGAAAACATCCCCTTTTCACTGGGTTGTCTCCATTGTTGGCAGGTCTCCTTCCTTCTGGCTTTTGGGTGTCCCCTTCTTCACTCTTAGGGATCCAGGCAGCATGGTGTCGCTAGCAGGCTGAACCACCTGATGAGCTGTTGGCTCAGCTGTTCTATTAAACTATTTTCTTTTCTAAGAAGCGTGTTGGAATTTCTCCATACCATTTGAAAGGGCTTCTAACCTAAGAATGCCCACTTTGTATACACCAGTTGTTGGGTCTTCCTTACTAATTTGTGTTTTTCATTATAAGTTGGTGTAGTGTTACAGTGTACAGACGGTCATAAAGAGGTGTCAGTCATATGACACAAGTGATGGGAGGAGGTAAAGCTACAGGCCATCGTGTGCCTTCTAAATGTGAATGACAGCAGATACTCTTACTCCTGTTCTGTGTTCTGAAACACTTTAGGGACCACCATTTGGTACTTCTTGTCCCCTCTTTTTTTTCACTCTGTATTATAATTTTGCTTTTTCTGGTTTTTATTGTCCTCACTCAACTTCAGTTCAAAAATAATTAGTATTTACTTCCGTTATTTCAAGAGAGAGAATCTATATTCACATAATTTTATTACAATATCTTGTTAAAATTATTCTACTTTTTAATTTATTGTTAATCTATTATTGTTGTTAATTTATACATTCAGTGTTTTTTTTTTACAGATATGTATGAATAAGAAAGAAACTGGACATGTGGGTTTGGTACTCTCTACATTTTTAGACATTCACACGAATTCTTGAAATACATCCACCTTAGATAAGGACACTACTAAAACCAGATGATATTTACATGTTGGGCATTCAGTCATCCATTGACTCAGTAGACATTTATGTGTTTAAGACCATGGACATACTATACATGTACTCTATCGTCCATTATATAGGAAACTAGTATAACGAGATGGGTGTGGACTCCCAGAACATACACAGTTATGGGAAGGAACAAGTTAAACTTTTATAAAGTTCTCTCTGAAGATTGTCACACTGAGGGGTTGGAGGTAGAATAGGGGTGGGAAGGAAGACATGATTCCTTCTTTAGCTTCTTGCATAGACCAATGCCGTATTGTCAAATCTGCTGTTAACAAAATTGATTCTCTCAAAAGATCCAAGTGACCCTAACATGATCATGTTGCTGTGCTGGGGATACAGCACAGAATACACAGTACTAAGGTGGGAACGCTATCATGTATATCCTTTGCGAATGTAAACACTTTCTCTGTCCTGTCATAAAGTGAAATAATAATTTGATCAGATTTAGAAAGAAAAAGTGTGGGGAAATCACCTGATATATGAGCTCCCATGTATTTTTATTGAAAGTGAATTCCTTCTGAGCTTTGTGCCATGGTTTATTAGCTTTCAGCATTAAATTGTCTTGATTAGCAAAAGATTTCAAAACTAAGCATGTAACACATGAAGACAAACTCTGTTAACCCCCCAGTGTTGAAGTCTAATGGGATATGATCATATTCTTTATAACTTTGTCTAAACAATGACAAATGCTTACAGATGCGTTTCTAAACACAGAATTCTAACTTATTCAAAGATAAATAGAACCTACAGGAATATCTGTCCTTAGTGTGCATGCACATGATAGAACACAGAACCACAGTAGGGACAAACTAAAGTGCATTTCCTACCTTTTCTTCGTCAGCAAGTACTGTAATATAGAGAAAATAGATGATTTAGAAAAATGAACACCACAAACTGTTACACAAGGCGTGAGACCAAAACTGCATATGGTTCTCACACATAGCTCAGCTTTTTCTTATTTGTTCCATTGTGTTTAAGAGCAAATGCACAAAGAACTAGTTTGATGTTGTTTTATTTCTTTGACAGCAGTTAAGTAAAATATATTTGAGATGTTGTTTTATCAGTGGTATAAGATTTTTAATGGAAAGAATGCTTTATGGGAAAATTTTTGTTTGGAGCATTGGCTTCAACTGAAACAATGAATTCTGGAGCAAGCAAACAGATAACACCAGAAGGAACATTCATCCAGGCCACTGTCCATGGGGAGATTCTTAAAAAGGATTCTGGTGGCAAAAATACATGCAGTGTGATGAAAAGCTATTATTATAATTTATTTTTAAAAAAAAACTAGAAATACTAGTTTTATAAAACCAATATTACCAATAAAACATATGTGTACACTTTCATACTTAAGATACATATTTTCTAACCTACTTAAAAGTATACCAAATAAAGTGTCTCAGTGATCACTGGGTCTTTATCTTGCAAATATGAAAATACAATGTTTTCCTATTAGTTTGCAAGGACAATGAACTGAGCACATGCATGTTGGGTATTTATTGACAAGTTGCAACAACAGATTTGTCTGTCCTGTGCTTAAGACTAAAAGGAAAAAGTCTTAATTTTGAGAACACAGCTCATTCTACAGGTGTACTGCATAGGTCTTACCTGTATTCTTATAATGCCTTAAAAAAAAAAGCTAAAACATGCAATAAAACTAAGTGAACTTAGAACCAGATGTTTGTACCATGCAGTATTAAGCTGACATTTTAAAAACAATAAAACACTAGGTCACACATTAACATCAACAAGTTACTGAGATTTGATAGTTATAATTAAATAAAGTACTAAAAACTAATATAAAAACATTTATTTGCCTTTCTTCCCTTTATTGTTAAATAACCGTTTTACATTTTTTGTACTCAAATATGCCATGATAGTATCAGCTGTGTAGAAAGAGAGAAATGATAAACATAAATCTGGCTACCATATTGTAGTTAGCTAGCCCACAGTCTTTCATATCTGAATAGGATTATTAAATTTTGAATGGATGTCTACCCATTTAGAGACAGCTGAATGCGTTGTGGTTGTTACTAGCCCTTCTCCATGTGCTGTTAACCCCCATTGACTCAGCGCCTTCATGTTAGAATGGACTTACTTGGCGACAACTTGAAACTCCAGATTGGAATTTGCCTTAAGCTTTAATGAATTAGTTAAGGATTTGAGTTCCTGGGTCTTTACAGTTAGAAATTTCAGTACACATTCAGGTGCAAAGAGAATTATACTTGTTATCTAGTTGGAATTGTTTGTTTGGGATTGTATTTAAGCTCCCTTTAGGATGCAGGGAATATAAAATAAAATCTTTTAATAATCTCTCTCTCTCTCTCTCTCTCTATCTCTCTGTGTGTGTGTGTGTGTGTGTGTGTGTGTGTGTGTGTGTGTGTGTGTGTGTGTGTGTGTGTATGTGTGTGTGTGTGTGTGTGTGTGTGTGGTCTTTCAAGACAGGGTTTCTCTGCATAGTCCTGGATATCCTGGAACTCACTCCAAGGACCAGGCTGGCCCCAAACTCACAGAGATCCACCTCCTCTGCCTCCTGAGTGCTGGGAATAAAGGTGTGCATCACCATTGCCTGGCAATAAAATCTTTTATTTTATTTTATGCATTGTTTGCCTGCGTGTATTTATGTGCACCATCTGCATGACTGGTATGCATGGAGACTGTAAGAGGGCATTAGATCCCCTGAAACTGGAGTTACAGGTGGTTGTGAGCCTCGATGTAGGTGCAATGAAGTAAGCCTCTGCAAAAACAAGTGCCCTTAACAACTGAGCCAGCTTTCCAGCCCATATATTAAAATCCTCTAAGTAAACTACCTGAAAATAGAAAAGTAATACCCAGCCGGGCGGTGGTGGCGCACGCCTTTAATCCCAGCACTCGGGAGGCAGAGCCAGGCGGATCTCTGTGAGTTCGAGGCCAGCCTGGGCTACCAAGTGAGTTCCAGGAAAGGCGCAAAGCTACACAGAGAAACCCTGTCTTGAAAAACAAAAACAAAAAAAAAAAAAAAAGAAAAAGAAAAAAAAAAGAAAAGTAATACCCAAACACATAAAGAATAAGACATTTAAAATAATTTAAGAATACAAAATGGCTTGTCAGAAGGTGTTCATGTTGCCATTATTGGGGTACCATGTATAAGAAGGGGCTTGAACTGAGCCAGCACCCTTGGTTAGTCTTAGCAGGAAGCAGGATATCAGAGCTGAGGAGGTGGGAAAATTCCTCACTACCGAGCCTCAGTTAGACATGAAGGATCAGGAAGACATTTCAAAGGAAAGGGGTGAAGAGGGAGGGAAGCCAGAGAGGCATGCCAGTTGAAGGATTATTCCACGTGGTTGTGTTGAGTTAAGGGATGAAAAACAGATGCAGAGCAGCAGGATGCCAGCAGAGAGTTTGTCTGTGGCATTGCAACCCTGCAGGAAGGCCAAGACTATAAGTTCTAGAGTCATCTAAAGGAGTGAGTTTCAGGCTGGGGATCCAGTTCAAGAGTGCTGCTTAGCATGCACTATGCCTGGATTTGATCCCCAGCACCTTATAAAACCAGGCTTGAAGAGAATGCTAGCAGAAAGATCTGAAGTTTGATCTCACCCTTGGCTAGATAAAGAGTTTTCATCCAACCTGGGATCCATGACACCCTATCTCAAAATAAAAGAAAATGTGATAGCATAAAATTAAGTAAAGAGGAGTTTTTAGCTAGGGACAAATGTGCTCCCAGGGAACAGAGATACACCTGAGGTGGGATGCTCCTGGCATTTAGTTAGTGGAAAGGTAAATGCTCCAGAAATTCTGCCATGTATAGAACAGCTTTACACAACAAAGAATTAGACAGTTCTCAGATGTCCCTGGTGGGAAATAGAGAAACTCTGCTTTAGAGACAGAACATCAATACATCCTTCAAAGAAACAGCACAAAGCAAATGGCATCGTGTAGACTCATCAGACAAAAGGCCAATGACCACTAAGCAAGCACCACATTCAGGAAGTGCTAGGAGAACAAGGAGCTAGCATGAAACACAAACCAGCAAAGAGGAGAGAGAAGCATGCACCAGTTAACTCAAGTACTCAATGAGTAGTTATTGAACCAGGGACACAGCGCTGCCAGCAGGGAGCTCATATTCTAGGAATGGTGACAGATGCTGAGTCAGTGGATGAGATCATTTTAGATGGTGGTGGGTACTGCAGCAAAGGCCACAGAGTAGTTTCCATGAAAGAAAGAGACTCGGGTTTGAGATGGGGTGGGCGCAGTGAGCCTGCTTTGGGTGGGATGGCTACAGAGGCCCTCTGAGGAGGTCACATGTCTGGTAAGAATGGAAGACGAGCCAGTCAGTCAGTCCTGAGAAGAGCTGGGATGCTGTGTCACAGACCACAAGGGACAAGAAGAAAGCATTTAAAGGGTGGATGGTGTCAAAGGTCATGGGGATCTTTGCTTAGTTACCAGTGTCTCTGTACTTCAAAGATTAGATCTTAAACAATAAACACACAAATTATAATTCTAAATTTTGAATGTTCATTTATGAAGGAAAAATCATGCTTGAAATTTGGAGACTCTTGGGTAATAGTGCAGGAGTTCCTGCTGGAGTTCTGTGGGAAAGCATTAAGCACTTGTTCATCTTAATAATTTTCTCCACAAAAGGTAGACATCCCCACACAGAGAAAGCCATGATGTGATGGCATGAGAATGCTAACAGTAATCATACCTTTTCTACCTTTTCTTCCCAGGCTTCACGAGGCTTGCTGCTCAGGCAGTATCTATTGTAATCAGCAAGTTACCTACGGTGATTGCATGCTTGCCTCCCACAATTAAATACTTCTTTTTTCTGTCTGAGAGAAAAATGTCAAAAAACTTGGCTGAATTGAAGAAAGCTGGCCTGCTTGTCTGGAACTTGATTGTAATTATATGTCGGATATTTGAGGATGGGAACACCGTGGAACGTTTAACAGGTGCCTCCCTTGACAGATGGAGTAAAGAGAAAGCAGCTTTCATCTGTGTGTGTTTGGAAAGCATTCTAGGAGAGAGAAGCAGCCCTTGTCAACTGACCCAAAAGGTCATACTGAGCATTGAGCGGCAAAAACCCAACTGGTTGGAGCACCAGCTCCTGAAAGCAAAGACGCTGAGCATCAACTGGTAAAGCCACGCTTGTTCCTTTTCATCAAATGATTTCTCAATACCAGAGTCACCAATACACAACAGCAATAGACTGTTGTCAGATGGGCAGCAATGGTCATTGGGCAAAAAATAATAGGACCTTTGAGGAGCACCAAAAAACGATAAGTAGGCCCCACTGAACACTGGACTGTTAGGTGTCCCTTGTAAAATCTGAACCCCATTGATATACAGGAACACTATCCTGGTGTAGGTTCCATCTTAAGGTTTCTGATTAAAAGGGTGTAGCTCAACCCAGGGGAATTTAGTTTCGCTCCTTTGCAGTGTGCAACTGGGTATCTAGTGCATAGCCTGAGGCATTTTGTAAATGGAGTGGGCACAGATTGAATTAAGAAAGAATTAATGGATATAAAAGGCTTTTTATTGCTTTCTGTGTACCTGATTGTCAAAAAGGTACACATTTTTCATCTGGTAATGTAAGAATCCCAGAGGGCAACTGGGGCATATCACTCACAAGCTATAAACACACCCAGCTGTTTCAGGATGGAAATGTCACCAACAGCTAAGTGATTTGTGGTACTGCAAAGATTTTTAAGGGTCCCTGATGAATTCAAATATGTATGTAGAGTTCTCCTGTGTTGAAGTTAGTCTGTAGGTATAAAACTGTATGATATTGATAAAGGGATTCCAGGTCAGGTGGTCTCCACATCACCAAGTCAGGCCATTGCTTGAATACCCATGCACACCGCCCCCACCCTAGTTATTAAAGGTCTCTCCATGTGGCTAGCAGACACTGGTGAGCTGCCTGAGATGACTAAACGTCACCTGAAATACGATTGCTTTTACTGGCAGACGGCGGTGATGAAGAGCTCAGGCTTGAGAATCAGATGAACACACAGGCATTCCTTGTAAATGGGTCATTTTATGCCTCGCTCAGAACTTCAGTTTCAAGGATGATGCCAACTTGGCAGAACTGATTTGGAAAAAAGTCACAAAATTTTCAGCATCAAATTGAGATCTAGTAAGCATCTTTTACCTATAAACTCTGTTAAAACACATTGTGTGCTGTCAGATGTGGTGGTATGCTCTCAGGAGGCAGAGACTTGCTCTACATAGTGAGACCCTATCCCCCAAACAATCAATGGCAAAAATATGTTTCATTCACTGGTTAGCAGAATGGTAACCAGTACATTGTGCTTGTCCATGTTAATCTATGAGATTTCATATTAATCCATGTGGTGAGTACTAAGGAGCCTAGTTTCTCTGGTCTAGTCATACAGAAGACAGTCACCTTTGGTGTGTGAATGGGAAGGAGTGACAGTAGAAGTCAGGGAAATGCTTAGTAATGTTGATAGTTAGTGACCTTCTTAATCTTTATTATTTGCATCCAATACTCAATTACAGGGTGAAGCCAGTGACTAAAAGATTAAGGTCAAATGTCATTATTCATGGTAGTGGATATAAAAAAGAGAGAGAGAGAAGAACGAGAAGGCTAAAAATAGCAGATCTGATTATGCTTACAAAGTAGAATGTATGATACTGCTGGTTTAGAATTCTTATAAATAAGATGTATTCAAAACAATACTTCCAGTCATTCGTAAGATAATTTTTCCCTCAAAAGGTATTTCGAAAATTAAAAAAAAAAAACAAAAAAAATGCACACCCACACATTTAGCATCTCGTACAGTAGAATATTGTCCATGATGTAGTGGGTTAGCTAGCCCTCAAAAATTGTTAGCTGTTTTTTACAACATGCGGCAAAAAATGAGAATTTGCTGATTTTTAAAATGTTTTGTAGCCCTCAAAGATTCTGAAAAGTAAGATAATTATCACAATACCATGACTTTCTCAATTTCATAAATGATACTATATAAAAAATTCAGACTTAAATCTATTTGTCATATATATTTGAAAATGTTAAAATTGACTTACTATAGAGAGCAAGTTACTGAGCTTATATGCTATAGATATATTTCTTCTTGACTCTGGTTTTAGATTGATTATCCAGCGTGTGTGTGTGTGTGTGTGTGTGTGTGTGTGTGTGTGTGTGTTCCTATCTTCTCATGAATTGATCTCACAGATCTGCACTACGAGGAAAGTGTATAAACACATTTCAGATCAGTGTGTCCACATCAGTCGGAGGAGGGTTGCCTTAGCTTTATCACAGGGTTCTTTCTTTAACAGAAAAAAAGTATGCAACAATTTAAATTAAAACATTTTTCTGTTAAATTCTTCAAAAAGATTATCTTGGAAGTACATAATATCCTTTAGCTGGGCTTTTCCATTCGCATTCAGATTTAGCTTTGGTTTTATGAAAATAACTGCAGTTGGAGGGGAGGCAGCGTAAGTGTCGCTTGCCTTGCATACTGCCTGAAAGCATTACTATTCATTAAAATAACCTTCACTTTGTAGTACCTCTCAACTCTAAACAGTCAACTTAGATTCTGGAGAACACACGGCCACAAAAGTAAAGAAATGTCTGTCTTTGCAAAGTAATTTGTCGAGTTGAAGACTATTGTTTTTCATCATGGTGACCCTGACTTGGCTGGCTGGGTGCATATACAGATTAAGATTAATGCAGTTATTGCTTGGCTAAGGTCTGCCTCTTTCAGGGCACATTCTCCCTAATGACATGATTGATAGGCAGTCCCAAATCCAGAGAGGAACTCATTAATCATAGCATTGACTGAATGCAATCATTTGCTTCACCTGCACAGTGATGGACAGGAAAGGATACAATTCAGAGGTTGACACTGAGATCCTCCTTTGTCAGGGGGCCTCAACTTTCTCAATGTCATCCTCTGCAAAACCTGACAAGAAATTTTGCTTGCAACCTATATTGCAGTTTCAAAATGATAGGTGCAAATTTCTCTTAGTGTAACAATGTCTTTTAAAAATTTGCTCTAGCTAATGAGCATTTCTAAGTCAGTAGGGGTCACTTTATTTTCTATTTTCTTGAGCAAGACTTATATAGTCTTAAATTTCCTGTGTGTGTGAAAGAGACAGGGGTGTTTTGAAGCTGCATGTGGAAGCAATATCAAAGTTAATGTCCAGCAGCTGGGTATCATTTGGAGTCCTCAGGTCAACAGCACTGACTCTTAGCAGAACTAATTTTGTAATCAGGGCAAAATCTCAGCAATGAACTGCAGCATACAGCTGATTACACGATAGTAAATTCCATTTATTCTGGGAAACAGTATGAAACCGTGAACATGCCTACAAATAGTTTGATCACAAAGCCAAACACAGTCTAACAGCACTTCCAGTAAGAAAGTTAGTGTGGAGAACATACGCTGTGGAGGACTGTCCCGTGCTTGCACTGGCGTAGTTGGAGGACTGTCCTGTGCTTGAACTGGTGTAGTTGGAGGTGTCTCAACTTTTGTCATCTCCTGCTAATATACAAATAATTCTCAAACTTAGAAACTACAAAAAGAAATACTTCATATCTGTAACCTCCACATTCCTAGCAACATGATAGTAGACGTTTTGGGGACGGGGAATAATAGCCAGAGTAGTAATTTTCTATAAGCGTCTGTTATGAGAAATAACTAGGAGAGGGAGTATGTATTATTTTTTTATGGCAACAGGTGTCAAAGGTCAATTTAAAATGCTCAGTGGTAAGCCTAGGGTCTTGAAGCACCCGTCCTTTATTCAACACTCCAAACTCTGCATTTCGACATGTTAATTAGCCTTTGATGTGCTCAGCACAGGTGTAAAGAGGCATGTACAAGAGACAGGATACTAAAGCTGCTTCTGGCATCAATGAGTCTTTTTGTCCTCAAAGAGAGAATACAAATTATTTCTTACATGTTCTTAAAAAGAAATGTTTTGTTTTCATCCCACGATTATAACAATTTCAACAATTACAGTTAATGGGAAGCGTTTTATAGATAGGAGTTTAAATTCAACAAAGAACTCTTTTCAAAGAAATGATTCAGATTTAAAAAATGCTTTCAGGTGCTTTGTTCCTGGGCAGTGTATTGGAGCCGTGGTGGTTTGGGAAGACAAACCTATTTGAAGAGAATCTTTATGGGTGCTTTGAATACAAAGTGTACATTTCTCTGCACACTCACTCTCTCTTCTTCCCATCGATACAGTCCCTCATCACTGATACATATTCGTCCTTTGTGTTTAGTGCATTCGTGACGGTGGAGGAAAGCTCAGGCTTAGGAGATGCCGCTCTTGAACTGACTGAGCAGAAAACAAACGCGATGGTCCTGGATCTCTGCCACAAACCAGGTGGCAGCGAGTACCTGAGGCAAATTTATCACATCATGCGGCTCAATGAGGTAGGGAAACGGCCTTTTTACCGAGCAATTAGGTGTGTACTGGCCTGAGGCAGCGTCTGCTGGCAGCTAAGGGTTAGTCAAGGAGGTGATAATACTTCTTAAAGTCAATACTAAACTCAATATTGCATTATTAATAGAATCTATTTAGCCCTGGCTGTTCTGCATGTGCAGAAAAAGGCTTCCTGAAACAATGTGGGTTTTATTTATATGATTTAAACAATAACACGGCTCATAAACTCAGTTTGGTTCTGAAATATAGAGATGAGAGATGTAGTTTGGGAATTGTGTATTTGTGGCCCATTCAGCTGATGGTGAAATCTGGTATTTGTAGAAATGAAGGATTTTTCTGAGGAGAGACATAGCTATTTTCCTGAAAGCATCGTTCTTTAGTTGGTAAAATTGTAGATTTCCTATGTAATAACAAAACAAAAATCTCAAGTCATCGGGAAGTACTGAGCTTGTGCTTTCTTCCTTTGAGACAGGGCCTCACTATGTAGTCTGGCTGGTCTGGAACTTGCTTTGTAAACCAGATTGGCCAGGAACTTTCAGAGATTTGCTTGCCTGGGCCTTTTGAGTGCTGGGATTGAGGGTTTGTATCATCACACCCAGTTCTGCTGTGGTCTTTATTTGGGGAACTCAGCAATTCTGCCTAACTTTGGTTAACTGAAATTCCTCCCTTGGAAAGTCATGTTCTTCAGTGGCATACATGTCTGGTCAATCAGGTTGGCTAAAGCTTCTTGTGAGGACAGTGAGGCAGGATTTTCAGTATGATTGCTCTCGGAGTCTTATTTACGTGGCATCCAAAGCTCTGACAGAAATGAGGACAGAGTGTAAGAGCTGGAGGGACAATTTCTGAGAAATTGTATTCTAGGAATGTCAGAAGCTACACCCATGAAGTCGTACCAACATGTCTGCCTAAACCTGGGCTGATCAGGGAGAACAACAGTAGACATGCCAAGGTGGCCTCACCCTACACGAGAGCTACAGGCAGCTAAGGAACGCCCAGAGCAAGAGACACGGACTTGAGGGAAGAGCACACCCATTGAGCACCCACCTCCTCATTCTTTAGAGTCTCTCACTCAATCTGGAGCTAGGTTGGCAAAAGCCAGCCCCAGCAGCCCTCCTGTCTGCAGCCACCTCCCCTTCTGCAGAGACCCCACTGCCATGGTAGAAGGTGCATGGGCCCAAGCCTGGCTTTCTGTAAAGGTGCTGGGCTCCGAATTCAGGTCCTCATCCTTGCACAGCAAGTGCTCTTACCCACAGTCCCAAGGAAGTGTTGCTGTTTTATGATCACAAGTGTGCCTGTCCGTGGTGTGTGTGCATGAGGAGGTGTAGCTAGAGTTTTCCTGCCTTGCCCACAGTCAGGACAAATCTTTGTCACCTGCCAGTCCCACAGCTGCTCAGACCCAACCAAGTAAACACAGAGACTTATATTGCTTACAAACTGTATGGCCGTGGCAGGCTTCTTGCTAACTGTTCTTACAGCTTAAATTAATCCATTTCCATAAATCTATACCTTGCCACATGGCTCGTGGCTTACGGGCATCTTCACATGCGGCTTGTCATGGTGGTGGCTGGCAGTGTCTCCCTCTGCCTTCCTGTTCTCTCTGTTAGTCCCGCCTATACTTCCTGCCTGGCCACTGGCCAATCAGTGTTTTATTTATTGACCAATCAGCAACACATTTGACATACAGACCATCCCACAGCAAGGAGGTCATTTATGATCACAAGTGTGCCTGTCCGTGATGTGTGTGCATGAGGAGGTCAAAGGAGAACCCTGTAGAATCAATCCTCCCTCCTTCCCCTTGCATGGGATTCCAGAGATCAAACTCAGATCGCCTGGGCTGTGAAGCAAGTGCTTCGACCGAACGAGCCGTCTAGCAGGCCTAAGAACCCGACTGTTACGGAGCACGGACTAGCAACCCAGCAGGGAAAACACAGGAGAAAGTGTTTTTCAGAATTGGCAGCAAATTTACTTTTTTGTTAAACAGTGGAAGCAGGAAAGTCTAAATGTAGTTCTAACAATGGAAATGAGTTAAGAAAAATTTTTAGTAGCCAAAGCAAATTATTCTTTTCCAATGAGTTTTTATTTCTTTAAAAAACTTACTTAAATTATGATGGAGAAAATTTTTGTTTCTGCTCTATGCCATAATCATAAAATGATTTTCTCACAGATTTGTCATTACCTAATCATATTTAGTAAGAGTCTTTGTGTCATTACAGAACCGATCTATTTAATGAGATGTTCTGCAATGACAAAATGTAAGAAATCACTGTTGTTGTCAACTACAGTAGTACTTTATTTAGTGTTTTTAGCATTTTGGGATCTGAAATTTGCTTTCCATAATGGACACAGTGTACATCCATGAAGGTGTAAGGACACACACACACACAGCCCAGTGAGACAAGACTAGATCTTTTGGCTTCTTGTCACAACTCTAATACTCACTCCATGAGCCTCAGGGCTGTCCTCTGGCCGCTCCAAGCCAGACACTGAGTGCGGGGCTGGGCTGTAATATTTCAACTGCCTTCCATTCCCTGGAGCTCCTGATAGTGGATGGTTCTGACTGGGTGGTGGCTGAGAGTCCGCCCTTCTAACGAGCTCCTAGGTGAGGCTGCTGCTGTTGCCTGTGCGCCACAGGGGTGGTAAGGGTTTTGGATGACCCCTGGAGTTCTTTTCAGCTCTCACATTCTGAAATGTGTACTAGCTGCAAACCTGGTGGGGAAAATGTATTGTGGCATATTAAAAAGCCAGGCAAACCTTTATTTTTATTTATTAAATGACTTATTAATAGCAAGTATTTGTTAGGTTGATGGTATTCTTTTAGTCATTTTAATTTGTTGCTTTCCAAAAAGAGCACCATAAAACAGATTAGGGATGTTTGCCTTACTTATTTATGGGTAGAAAATGAGCTATAATGCAGGAGATTGTCTCTTCTTGTCCAGGACTGCACCGGCACTTGGATGATTAGAATTACATATTTTGAGTTTCTATCGAGTTTTGATAGTTTTCAGTCCACCTCATGGAAATTAAGTGTGCAGGAGTTTGCATTATAAATAGGCCCATACAGAATGAGACTCCTGACTGTAAAATCAGAATGCTTACTGCTCTGCTGAGCCAGAGTAGGGAGCAACTGTATTTAATGAATGAAAGAGCGATCTCTTCCTGTGTGTAGTCATGCACTCCAGTTGTGTTTTGGTAGCCAGACATTGTAACACATGTAGTCAATGACGAGACAATGCCTGTTCAAAAGATTGTGACATACCAAGCACTCATTCATCGTGTGAGAATTCATTCAATGTTTTTAAAACTATGTAATGCATTAGGTTTAACTTGTTTTGGTAGCTTTACTGTGACAGTGCAGTGTGTCTCTGAGCATGTGTTCTTCCCGAGGTCAGCAGCATACTGTGGTCATGCTGGAGGTGTAAGCCGGGATATTGACCAGTTTATTAAAGAGAATATGTGCTTCTCACCACCCTAACATGGCACTTCTTTCCCTGAAGGACTATTTAAAAGAACAACTGTTTGCTACAAATGGTTCAGAGGAAACGCCATTGCCCAGCCAACCTTTGAAGGTGACCTTGAGGGATGCAGAGGATCAGTCTCCTGTTTTTAACCCTTTCCATGTGTATAAGACGTTTAGTGAAAACATGCTAGAGCAGGTATGTGGGAATTAAGTGTAAAATTAAACTTAAATGTATGGTTTCTGTACGTCAGAAGTAAGACACAACCCATGTTTTACTACTGCATGCATGGTCTTTCCCACACACACTTTTTTTGTTTGTTTAGGAAACAAAAATTCACACTGTTATTTACATGACCTATACAAGTGTTTTAAGTTGTTGAACTCATTTCTGTGTTAAACTGGTTCGTATTTTTGGTCTATAAAATTTAACTTTCACTTGGATCCTTTTGCTGTTATGCTGTGTCTGCGTAAGGCCCAAAGAGCCAGGCATCTTTTGTCACTCTCCCTCTCTGGAGAGTCAGCCCCTCCTTTAGGACACATGATTACACGACATCTCTCTGCCTCTGTGAATGTATCAGGTAAATTAGGAAGCACTTTAAATGAATTATAGAACATGGAGCCCCTATTATACGTGGCATAGATAAATTTGCTTTTTTATAACCTTAGACACATCCCCAAATTTAAAATGGATTTTCTAATGACTTTGAAGCAAAAATATTTAAAATAAAGTCAGCCCGGTAAAAACAATATAGTTTTAAAAGTCGGATTTTGCCGTTGTCTCAGCTGCGTACTTCAGTAATTTCATTAAACAAGATTATCTTTCCACAAAATATGTGAATTGGATTGTTTTTGTTTTGTTTGATCTTTTTTTTTTTTTTTTTCATTTCCCTACCTCTTGACAGACAACTTGAACTAGCAGGGCAGAAGAGAAGGATTGCTTGACCTAGAGAGCTGATGAAAACAAGAATTAAAACACTGGCCTAATTTGGCATGCAGATACTACTTTAACCATGCCTGCTACAGCCTTCGTTCACATTCATCAATACTGTAGTAGAGTAAGACCTTCAATGCTGACAACCCGGGGCGAATTCTCCTGCTCTATGACAGGGTTGCAGCGCTAGATTTATCAGCAGTGACAAGGGATAGCTCTGGTTAGATTTCAAAGACCATGCTGGAGTCTTATTATCCAAACCATTTAGTTTACAGAGCAGATGCTCCTAGAAGAATTTTAAACCTAATGTATAAGGTTCAGTTTATTGGCTGCTTCTTATACTGCACACTAGATTGCTCTAAATTACAAATAATTATTGTAGCTATTAAATCACCCTTACTTCACTTAAATAAATAGCATGTTTACCAAGTTCTGAATTATGAGAATATTTTTCACAGTAATTTTTCTCCTTACTCTTCTGTGAAATTATCAATTAATGAGAGAAAAGAATCATGTATGTTACTTACACTTGGAAATTCTTATAATTTTCCCATTAAAACATTTTCTTAACAAAAAAATAATAGTAACAGTAGTGTCCAGTTCTAATTGAGCTGTGTCTTACAGCTCGAGGCCTGGTGCTTGCTGAGTTTCCCTTTTGTATCTACACGGAGGTCCTAGAAAACAACCTGGGAAAGGGATGTCATCCACGAGAAGCTAGCCAGCCACTGTGCTCACTTTTCGGAATCACCCTCCCAACAAAACTTGTTGGGCAAATGCCATTAACACTTGGAAAAATAACGAATCTGGAAATTGATTTATATTTTTATAAATAATGACTCCATCCTCAAATGGATTTATAAATTAATTGCTGTCTTATTGGAATAAACACCTCCTCTGTGGACATGATTGATGTTATCTGTCGAAGTCCTTGTTCTGAGCCCCCTCCTTCTTAGTTAGTGTATCACAGCTGGAGCTTTAATTTACTGATCATATTAATTCTGATTAATAACTAACAATAGTGTCTTCTCATTTATCAACAGGCGGCCACAGCAACATGGTGCTGGAACTGGTCAAACTTGCTGCCAAATTACCTGCAACTGGATAAGACGACCTTCGGTGCACTTCTCAAAAACAGGTAATAAGATTGAATCTGGGGCTCAGGGAGTATGTGTAATATGTATGTCAGTTTTAAGAAAGTGAAAATATTTTATTGGCAGGGTAATCACTTATTTTCTGATTTTTGAGGTACCCATCTTAAATAATATGACTAAAGTTATATGTATACCTTCCAAATTCTGTTTCCTGTAATGAATAGTTGCGAAATTAGTTGATTTTTTTTCTTAATTTTAAATATTTTTGACTTTGTATATTGAATGGTTCGCTATTGTAAACACAGAACGTTACTGGCTTCAATGTCATTATCAGGGTATACTTTTGTTTACAGCAATTTCATGAATGCATGCAAAATGCCAGAACAAATCATCTAGTCAAATCAGGGCGAACATAAGTAAGACTGTCAAAACTGAATTGTCTTACTTTTCCGCCAGTATCTACTATACCCTCACGTGCATGTTGTTTTAAACACACACACACCACACACACATACACACATACACACACACCACATATACATACACATACACACACTATACACACACACACACACACACACACTCTTTCACTGTTCATGTGTCATCTTTAGGCTTATAGCTAAGTATGGAAATTAATTTCTGTTTAATCTCTGTGATGTAGCTCCATGTTTTTGCAAAAATATTGAATATCATTGTCCTTGAAAAATATAATGACAAGGACATAGTACAAGTGTTATATTATCCTTGAGAAATCTTAGCATATGAAAGAGAATATCTATAAGAGATTGAAGTATTTCCCAAATGGAAGTTCGTAAAGCAAAACAAAACAAAACACCAATGTATGTGTCACCAGTAAAATTTAAACCTTAGATATGTGGTCACAATAGCATTCTAATATTTTGCCTGTAAATTAAGATCATTCACCTATTAGGACCAAGTTGAACAAATGACCAGTTTCCTCTTGAAGGACAGAGCGTTTCCCTCAGCAAGTAGCCTGCATGCTATTCTTTTTCAGTGTTTGGTGGAAGTACTCTGGTCCCATCCCCAAGTTATCTGGAAATGTGAGAGGTAGGTTGATGAAAGGGAGGCCAGGTCCCCTGTTGAACCAAATTATATGGTGTGAGCACAATATTTTTATCTGGCAATACCCTTGAAAAGATAAGCTTTTCCCCCCTGCTATTCAGAAAGTTTTGAGTTTATGCAGATTAAGCATTATAGTTTCCTAATTTTTCTTCAGTTGTAAATTCCTGCTTCTAATCAACTAAATGATACTCTAGGGACAGCACATCCTTCAAAACTTACTATGCCTGCATTGTGTAATATCCATGTCTAAGGAATTTCTGCTTTAACAGAAATTGCATATTGTATCTGTGTTTAATAAGAATATTGTTTACACATGAACTATGAACCAATGGCTGAGGGGTCCCCACTGGATCAGGCCCTCTGAATGGGTGAGACAGTTGATTGGCTTGATCTGTTTGGGAAGCATCCAGGCAGTGGGAACGGGTCCTGTGCTCATTGCATGAGTTGGCTGTTTGAAACCTGGGGCCTATGCAGGATTGCTTGGCTCGGCCTGGGAGGAGGGGACTGTACCTACCTGGACTGAGTCTACCAGGTTGATCTCAGTCTGTGGGGAAGGCTTTGCCCTGGAGGAGATGGGAATGGGGGTGGGGGCTGGGGGAAAGGTGAGGGGGACGGGGGGGGGGGGGAGCAAGGGAATCCGTGGCTGATATGTAGAACTGAATTGTATTGCAAAAGAAAAAAAAAAAAAGAAAAAAAAAGAATATTGTTTAATAATATATTTTAATTAGGTCACTGAATATTAAAGTCTATTTCTCTGAGATATATGCAGGAGTGAGTAGGAAATAAAAAGAAAGAAAGAAAAAGAAAAACCCTGCAGATTTACTCCAGAATAGCAGGTCAGACAGTTCCCTTGGAAAAGGCTCGTGAATCTTTAATGGAGGCAGCTACAGTCTAATCTCAATAAGAACCTGCGATTTTAAAGAATGGTGTGAAAAGCATTCTACTGAAAACTACAAGACACCATAGCAGCAATGAGCCTCACTGATTTACCCTAGAATGATGAGAGACACCTGAGGGGACTATCAGCTATGACTTCATTTAGTTTAGAATTTTCTGTCTGAGTTTGGATTGATATTGAGCTAGTAAGGAAAGAATTTCTGCTATTTTTCTCTAGAATTCTAAACCACTCTATTTTTTGACCTATCTGAAAATGCTGACTTGTAAAATAGAGTTTGGAATTTTTCGATAGTGAGGTTCTCTGAAAAGTACAGACTGCAGAACAGTGAGTCTGTAGAAGGAAGGGTGCGCATGCCATCCGGTGTCTCTACAAGGTGACGCTTCCTGCTCTTAGCATGGTCTTAGTGCTAGGCAGCACTGAAGGAGATGCCCCAGAGCAGCCAGTGCTGAAGGAGACGCCCCAGAGCAGCCCAGCTGTGTGTTTTCGGCCTTTGGCATCAAATCACCAACTGCACAAGTGACTTACCCCTTTCTGCTCCTTTTCCTGGTGATAACGTTGTACTGATTGTGGCTTATATGCATGAATGAGGCTGTGAGTGTTGACTGCAGACCTGATGCTATGAAGCAAACCAAACTCAATATACAAATATTAAAAAGTGCTTAGGAGGACAGCATCCACCTGATTCCTTTATAAAGTGCCTTAGTGACCAGACCAGACTCCTCTTGTCCCTAGAATAGAACAAGCATGAGAAAGTAGGATTCCTGAGTTCTCAAAAACTTATAGATTCCCATATAGATAAAATGAAATTATATAGCTACTCCCTGGTGTTGACAACCAAGAGTGTTAAAATATTTGTAAGTTGGAATACCTTTGCAGGAAGGTGCCCAGTGTTAGTTCTGTCTTGTAAGGAGACTGTGACTATTCACTGTAGCTTAGTTGGCAGAGTACTCCTGCTGTATATGAGGCCTTATGTTTAATCTTGTCTAAAATAAATAAAAAGTTGTGAAATGAATCATCTAAGCCACCAAATTTGTGGCAATTCCAGGCCTAAATGAATAGATAAGGCTAGACAAGAGAGCTATCCGCACATAGGGCGTGTGGGTTTGGAAGGCAATGAGGAAGAAAAACATCAAGAATCAGGAGGCCAAGACAGCCATTCATGAGAAGGGACCCGGAGCTGGGTACTTCAGAGGCAGTCTGAATGTATTCTAGAGAAGTCTGGGTGCCAGGAACATCTGCATCTAGAGCAATTCTGGCTTATATTACATAGGCAGTTTCTGTGCTGATTCCAAAGGCAGAGTAAGGCTTAAAGTGGCCACCCTGATGAGTCCTTGTCAGGGGTGTGCCCTGTGCTCCATCTATAGCCTCACATCAAAGTGCCTCTCTCTAATCCATGACACTCTGTAGACTGCCTTTTTCAGGTTCCTTGAACTCTCCATTTCCCACAGTGAGGTCACCCAGCAATTCACAAGGACAACACCATCCCATCTGGGACAAATATTACCTTCCAAAAATGATCACTCTTTCCTTACCCCCTGTTTAAAAAGGTCTTCGAGTCATGCGAGTCACCCTTCATTCTGTTCTCTGTGGCGTTTTCTTAACTAATTATGACGGAAATCTCAATTGTCATTTCTATTCTTTCAATCATATGCAGTAAAGCATAAGTTCTATGAGATTAGCACCTGCTTGGTTTCAACACCAACAGCGATGCCTTGAACAATCTGGGCACTGTGGGCTCTCGGCAGTATGAGCCAAAATAACTATAAATGAGGACTAGGAAGGTACAGGAAAAAGTTGGCTCCTAGCAGGTGAGCACAGGGTGGGTTGTCCCTAAAAATCATGCTGTATTAATGGCCATGTAGGTATGCAAAATGTTCTCTGGTAAATATCAAGTTAAAAAACTATAGCAATGTATATTTATCCTCTGCATTTTCAACATTTGGATGGCACTCAGGTTAGTTGTAATCTTTCTCTTTAAAATGCCTGGTTTATTTTTATTATTTTTATTATGTGAAATTTGGCTCAGATTAAAAGAACAGGAAGCTGGTCTTTATTTTTAATTAATTGGCCTACTTCGAGCCATAACCCTGTCAGCAACAAAGCCAGTTATTCACTGTCTGATTCATAAGTCTCCTGACATTTGAGTGAAAGGATTTGTATCTGTTAAATGATACAAACTGGGAGGTGAAAACTTTAAGATGGAGTTAGCTGCCAATCGTCTCTAGCCTAGCCTTTGTAAATTAATTATGAGTGATTTATTTTCTGAGACATTTGAAAAAACTGAAATATCTGAAATCTTATGGAAGAGATCCTGAATATGTATCAATGATATATGTGTTTCAACTTAGAAAGTTTGCCATTATAGAAAATAAAAACTCCTGGAGGTTCAGAAACCCAGCACATAGATCAGTTCTACACTTTTCCCTTTAATGCCCTGGAAGAATAAGTGCTGTGATTGTACATTGATCTTTTGAAATCATCAAGGTTCTTATTCCCTGCTTCTTACTATTCCATTCCTGCTTTCACTCTCTCTCACTTTAAAATAAATCCAGACCATCGAATGAGATGGTGATTGCATTTCTGGAGAGTGTGAAGAAGGCATGCTCTGTTTCTTCCTCCATGGCCGAGCTCCAGATGCCATTTGATATTGTTTGCCTTGCACAGGAACAAATTTATGTTGCTTCTCTTCTCTTTACCTTATTTACTCAGACTAATGCCCAAGAATTGTGGTGTTGAAAATAACCCTTGAATACAGTAGAATGCTATGCTATTTTAACTACCTAAATATACTGCATATGAGTTTGGCTTCAAGTTGAGCAAACACAATTAAATATGATGGCAGGAACAGCCGAAGGGGTGGTGGTGGCAGATTTCTGGCTATCACTTTGGGTCCTTTCCAGGTGGACAATAACTGTGCATCGGAAAGGAAAAGATTAGAAAATGTGTTGAAAAGAGCTGTTGATCAGTGGTGTTGTTTGCCTTTACTAACAAATATTAAGTGACTTTACTCTGTATCAGATGATAGTGTGCACCCTACCAGGACCCTGTATCAGGTGACAGTGT